CAGTTATACCCCCCCCCCTCCGTCTCAAAATATTCGCGGCACTACAATACTTTTGGTATATATATATAAGATAAGGTCATATCGAAAATATAGATTTAGTATCAGATCACATTCCATAAACAATTCATTTATCAAATATTTCATAGATGAATTTAAACAGCATAAAACATTGATGGATACTGGTTTATTTTTAAATAGAGGAGATATATTTTACACGCACAGCACTTCATGAGCGTGAGGCCAGTGTTTCCAAAATTAATTGATATCCAGTAATGGAATTAATATTCATAAATTAGTTTCATCTCTTTGTGAATTTTGTTTTTAATTGGACGATTGTAAAAAAACATACACACAGGTTGTCTAGAACCCTATAGCTAAGATGAAAAGACAGTAGCAGTTGAAAGTCAAGCGTTCGAACAAATCATAAGATTAACTAGAAGATGTTAGGATATGAAATATGTCACTATGAATTACAAAATTTAGAAGTCTATCAGTCGCATATAATGAAAAGGTGAAACTTCAATCATTCTTGGTAGATGTCCAGATGACGCTTATTTTTTGTAAATAGAGTATATACAATCAAACATCACAAGAATCTTGGATACTTTATCATTATGGTGGATCTTTGCTATTAGAAGCAAAGTTGTTGTTTTTTCATTTTGCAACAGCTAACTTGATTGCTTGATTTAATAAATCTTATTGAAAATAAGAAAAATGTCCTTCGCTCTGAAAGATCGTTGATACATTGATGCGCATGGATGCTTATTTATTAAAGTTAAATCTAACATTCTTGCACTGAAAAAAGATATGTATTTATATTGAATGTTATATGAGTGATAGAATATTCCGATAGATGATATAATACAATTAGGCGCGTAGCACGTGAAGTATTACATAGAGAAAGATACATATAGAAAGATATCTGGAGAACGCACAAGTGAAAATACCTATCAGGACGAAAGAAAATAAATAGCTGTACCCAAATTGAAGCGAAACGCCTAAAGATACTGTTTAAGCAGTCACATTTAACTGTTCCACTAAAAAAAAGGTGAATAGATAGATATGATCCTTCCTTTGTTTTTAACACTTCATTTATGTTTCGAAAGATTTGTAATATTACATGAGCGTTTAAACAATTTAAAAAGAATCAGTATCTACGATAATGAAAGGATCCGCAGAGAAAAAAGCTACCTCACAATATGAGTGAGTTAGAAGAGCAAAAAAGACATAGCAATGAAAGCTCTTTCTATTCTTTCAGAAAATCATATACTACCTGTCAATGCTAGAAAAAGAAATGCAATGTCGATTCACAGTGTAGTGTGCCTTAACACCATCAAAAGTCTATTATCGAGATAATCTAATTGAGTTCGTTTCATGTTTAAAATATTTAGTGGCAAAAATTAGAGCAAAACTAGGATGGGGTAATTACATTATAACACTTGTCCTAAAAATTCGAAACATCTTTAATACGTTTAAATTACTTTTCCGACTAATTCCAACTAAAATGATTGCTCTTCTTAAAAGTCTTTCTTGTGGTTATGTTCTCCCCTATTGTATCTGACTTTTTATAATATGGTTATACTTTACAGAAAATTAGAACATTCACAAGTGTCAGGTCTGTGTATTGTGTATACACTTTGGAAATGGGACGATTATACTGTACCTGTAATAATTCGAGAGAAACCTCTTTTGGATTACTTATACATATAAGTATGATATAAAACTTAAAAAAGTCTAGATACAGCTCCTGACACGTTAGAATATCAATAAATGTGAGAAACCTTTCTCATAGCAACATCTCCAAACGGAAATTATTTTAAACCAATAGGTTTTTTATAGAAAAGGACAGTATTTTCTCGAATCGATTAGTAGAGAGGTCAAAACGTATGAATTTAGACAACGTCACATTCTTTCACATGTATGGCAGCCAACGTGAAATTTTTAGAAAACTATCTTCAATGTTACAAAGATTTATATAGAAATATTTATATTCTTCATGATGTCATCAATACATGTATGATATTTTATAAAAATACGATATAGTGTTCCTTCATTAACAAATATTTCACATATATAATTGAATTTATTAATTTTTTCTCTTGTTTAACTTTTGTTCTTTATTTACACCATGCCGGCATTTGTTTTTCTTTATAAAATATATCTGCAGAAAGAAAATGAAACCTGCAACGTAAAATGACTAAGAGAATAGCTAGATATTTTCCATTCATCTTTAAATATTTACCGTACGAGAAACAATAAACTTCTATTGAAACAAGAATCAGTATCTACTACGTAAGAAATAACGATACATATTTTAAATCATGATTTGTATTATCAAAAAACTACTATAAACATAAAAGTAGTATAATTCCTTTTTGCTTTGGTAAAACTACGATTGTCTTCCTTTTTAAAGTCCATTGAATTTGAGCTTTATATGGTTTCAGGGTGCCGATGAACAAAAATGGAATCGCCTGGAGTTTTCATTTCTCTATATTATCTGATGATTTATATTTAAAATAATCAGTTAACTGTATAGTAGTATTTATAGAAAATTTTAAACATCTTTTGATCAAGCTAGAATGCACCTATCAATCAATGAGTTAAAATCATGTTTTGATTTGAAAATTAGGATATCAACTATTTACACTGCTCTATATGGACCATACTGAGTATATGTTTCTAGTAGAACCTGTAAACTACTTTTCTTCTTATATTTCATTTGCTATTGATTAGTAGTAGAAATCGGTCAAGATAAGATAGATATATCTTTTTATTTTATCAACTATAGGAGACATACCACTTCACAGATTTAGCGTGCTAAAAGAACAAGTAGATGATTATTCATATCGATATATCCTACAGAGAAATATAAGCTTAATGAAACTAAAAAGTCAGTTATATTATTTCTTTTCGTAATGATATTTTTATTTTATCGAGGACAGACAAGAGTTAGCGAATGAGAACATAGTTTTAACAGTGGTTAGATCTTATACCTATTTGAATAATGTATAGTTTTCAAACATTTAGTTGACAAAATGCATAGAAAGTATCAAAATGTTTTATCTATAATTTTGTGAAACTCGTATATATTTTCGAAGAAAATTGTGAGTGCATGTTTTAATGCGAGGTTTCTATCGATTTTTTTTCTATCGATCGATTATCTTACAAAACAACTAAAATGTGAAACATATCCCACACTGTACGTGTTGTGGATTCGTAGCATTAGGCGAAAAGTCATATGTGAGTTCAACATTTTAGCCCCAAATGGGCTGCGCTAACAAGCATTTTGTCCGCTTAGAATAATTCATTTTCGTACTAATTCATTAATTCACTGTTAAAAATGAAACGTATCTCACTAAGTTCATATTAAATACTTAGATAATAAGTTAGATTATTTTTTCTTCTACTATTCATCGTCAGTATTGCATATTCAAATTTTGTGACTACGTTTATATTTTACAGTAGGAATTCAAAGTTATTTCGATTTTGGAATTAGTTCAGAAAACTAAATGATCTTCAGTAGAATATTTATCAGATATAAGACAAGCATTAACTATAAGCAATCAACAAAAGTAAAAATCATCTTGAAAAAGTGTTAAAGAATTAGTTAGTAAAAATAAATGCTTCAGAAGTAAGCCTAAAATCAACAAGTAGTTTTCATTTTTTTTTATGAAGAAGAAATATTTAATTTCGAATACGTCGTGATATTTATCTAAATAAACGAAAATTCGTACTTTTCTAAAACCTAACACATGAATAGGCATACTTTGTAGAAACTTTTTGAACTTGCATCAAACTAAAAAACTTAAAACTTAAACAAAATACTTGTGTTCATATCATATGTTTTAAAAATACACTTAAGTTTCGTTTATTAAGATAAATATTGCTTCTCTACTCGACATTTCAAACTATTTTTCTTTTTTGTGAAAAATAATTAAATGGAAACTACTCATTGATTTGGTTAAGTAAACGAAAACTTGCATTATTTGAAACGATTGAAAATGATATAAGTGGTGATAATCGTTGATATAAAATTGAATTTTCTTTAAACAAAAACGTTGTTTACTACAGATCGAATCACGAAAAACCGTGTATTTAATCATCAGTGAATTTATGTTTAGCTTAGCTATAATTTAACGTTTTTAAACGATAAAAAACATATTTTTTTAATGAGTTCGAAATCGTCTTTGTGATAAACGAGGATTTTGGATAATGCATCACCGTTTAAACGGCAACAGAGCGTGTTCCCAACTGTCTGAACAGTACATAATGTATGTGTTCAGAAAGAAAAAAAAGAGAACTAATATATATGAAAAATACACTTAACATATTTTTTTCTTACGGCACGCCTTTAGGTACAGGCCAGAACAAACATGAATTACCTAGGATTAACATTAATTACAAAATATGACAAAAAACTACAATAGTACACTATAATCAAATTTGATATTTCTCTCGCTTTCAGAAAACTTGTGCATAAAGTGATGTGTATCTATATAATAAGCAATCTATTCGTTCTAAAGACTTTGAGAAGAATTCTAAGAAAACTCTAAACTTTTGAATTAGGTATCTTCTGAGTGAATTACTTCTTCTCATTTTATTCATACCAATAAAACTTTTGAATTTCTTTTTTTTTTAAATAGCGTCGTATGTTTACATCCAAACCGTCGCAAGTATAATCCAGTAACGGACACTGTGGCGGACGCTCTATCATTTGATTATCCAACAGCTCCATACGGCGTTTATTGTGTAGATGATATTAATGAACTGAACAATGGTGTGAAAAATTGGGACAGATGTGTTTCGGCTATCGGATGGGGTGACTTTCTAATCTTCGATGTTTTACTATTATTGGTTATACCATGCAATTCTTCGATTATAATAAGAGCATGCATAGCATTCGGTTGCATAGTTAGCGTAGAACTTGCTAATTTATGTACTGGTTTCATACTTTATTTTAGTGATTTTAACGGTTTACCGGCTTTACCTCTTCCCACGGCTGTTGTCAGTGCTTATGCTATCTTCGTTGGTGCCATCATTGAATATTTAAATCTTGATTGTGAAGATACGTTAAAATGGAGAACAAGTCTTCATTATGACTTTTCATACTATCATAATTCATTGATGAAATAAAAGTTCCACGATTTTATATTGTTCCGGTTTATACCAATAAGAAAACGTTGAATTCTTTATTTTTGCTGATTCCTATTCGATACTGCCAATTTTTTTCTGTTCCATCATATAATCGAGTGTTGCTCGATAATCTTCAGAATTTTCGTCATTAGATAAAATGATTATTGTGCTCATTAATTGAATTGATCATATTTATACGGTGAAATCTATGAAATGTTTGATAGAAAGAAGCGGTACATCTTCAAAGAGAGGTGCAAGGGATTATTACATTTTCACCATACTTATAACCTATTCAAAGCCAAAAACTTATTAGAAATCAAAGGAATGCATTTTTTTCAGTCTTCATTGATAAACGATTAGAGTTTCTATCGTTTTGCCAGTAAAAAACATTTATTTAATGACAGATTTAGACTGAGATGAATTTTCAAACTTAAAACAAAAACTATTTTTATATAAACCAACCTTAATGATATTATTTCAATGTGAAAATTTGAGATTGAGAGAAATTTCTACTGTTATATAAAGACGAATTATTTGTATGAGCAGAGATCTTTCTCCATTCACACACTTGAAACATTTTCAATCTGATATAAAATAAATTATTTCGTGAATTTTAAGTATATACTTTTCAAAAAAATACCCATATTTTATCGTTTTTATGAATCAGATGGTTTTTATGCCGATTCTGAATGAGTATGAAAACAGTTTTAATGTGCCAATCGATGCAGTGATCGTATTAATCATTTGATGCATCAAAGCAATAAAAGAAAAATCCAAACATATAATGCAATATTTTATTTCCAAAACTAGAATAGAATTCGTCTTTTATAATTTTATCATTAAATTTAAAACAAAAACATATATAGCTACTAATAAGTTTTTTTGTGATTACAAAAAATGGTTGAATTTGATTTAATAGTGTATAGATAGTATTATTTTAAGAAAGATTATTAAATAAACATGAATAAAATATCCAAAACATATTATTTGAAATCAGAGAAACGAAAAAATAAAATAAATTTTCATAATTATCAATAATTTGAATAATAATTTTCAATGAATGTACTTGAAATTTTTCATTACGTGTTATATTAAATATATTTATTAGCTATTGATGAAATAAATGATATATATCACCAAGAAATATATTCTAGCGTAATAATTGTTTTATAAAACTTTGATGTGTTGAATTAATATTTTTTGGTGTTTTCTTATCACATGATAACAAAGTTTATTTACACGTGAAATATTTTTCATCTAATATTGATAATTTATTAGACATATAAATATATTCATGTTTAAAATAACAAGCCCAACAATCAATTCTTTTTCACAGGCTCATTTTTTTAAATTATTTTTGCACATGTGAGTGAATATTTTTGAACACTATCATAACTGAAACCAGATTTTGAGTTAGTAGTTGTTTAAAGTTTTATACAATAGAGAGACTCAATTATTAGACTAACTTTCGTTCAAATCGATTGATGTTGGCACAATTGAAAAAAAGAAAATTAAATGCGCATCACAAACACAGCTATATAGTTTATTTTATATTCTGCTCGTGTTTAAGTTCGATTAATTTGAAATAACAATCAAGTAAATATGATTCTAGAAATTAAATATATCTCGCTTTCTACAAAGAAAAACAAATATCACAAAGAAATTAGGATAACTCATAGCAACCGTTAATAAATTGTTAGTCTATACTTATCGTTGAATGCGTTGCACTCTTTGAATTCTCACTGTACCCCACAAAGTCCAGAGAGTCCATGGACTCCTCGGAGTACCGGCGTACGTCGTTTCCCCCTTGATCAATAAAACATACATACCATCGTTACTCATTTCACTTTGTCAAAGTTGAATAAAATAATTTGGAATCAGATAAAGTAAAGATGATGGTTGAAAATAGCTTTCAACGTAATTATCATCGATCAATTTACGAACAGAACATGCTGCTCAGGTCTGAGCAATATAAGTTTGACTTTGATATTTCGGATAATATTAAGTATAACAGTAGCTCATTGAAGATTAGTGAAAGATTTTACATAATTATCAAACAATAATTAGTGGCTTAGAGTTTATTGTGATCGTTATGAATGTACTTTCAGTATGAAAGCTTCTCGATAAAACTAGATGATAGTAACACTTGGCGCTTAAACAACTTGAGCTTGAGTTAAATACAATGTTAATCGACTTAATTTTAATTTGTATTCTAATTGCTTTATTTCTTCTAAATTAATCCTATGAACCGTTGTTTTTTCCTCAATAGAAAAAAAAGAATTAAAGAAAAGCATTCGGATAATAATAAGTTTTCTTATATTAATAGATAATGCAGCCAGTGTTATTGCCATTGCTGGACAATTATCATCATCATCTGAAAAACAAAGTTCTTCTCTTTTCTTAAAGACTATGATGATAAACGTCTTTTACAAATATTTTATTAATTTTTATGCTCTTTTCGACGATTCACAATAGATCGATTTACTTTTTCTTTCTTTGTAACCCCATAATAAATCCATACGGCGAATTGTATTATCATGCCCATCAAGAATAAAACGATCCCTATTGTTAAGATCGTTATGACGATATAATCCCAAACCGTTCATTCGACCGAGTGCAATGCTGCATAGTGCCTTTGAACAACAATATGATTATTGTTTTGATCATATGAATACACAAAATAAACGACCAGACACATGATCATAATTAAAGTCAACGCTATTAAACCAACAAATATTGAAGCCAACCAGACATTCTTTTGTTCAGATGGACTCTTTTTACTATCGTTACTTTTTGATTTATTTATCATTATTTAGATCTGAAATCTCAATTCGCTGTTAAGAAAAAAATATCAATTAACAGACCTGAGAAAAGAAAAAAAAGAATATCTAGGGTAACTTTGTTGTCCGTTTGTTCGCTAGCTTTTTCTCTCTCTCTCTCTCTGATAATATTTATATCCATCGAACGTAAATAGCCGGCACATGTAGTAGTTAAAATAATGGATATGTATATATATATCTTGCTGGACTATTCTAACCGTTTTCTCTCTTTTTTTTCTTCGAATCCTCATCTGTTTTGAACGCTTCATAAATATTTACAGGTCGAGTTATATTCCAATTACCATTTATTTTCAGGTTTATGTGTGAAACAAAAAAGGGACCAACTACGAATAATTCACAATCACAAAAACATCCCATGTAGAAATAAAAAGCGATTTAACGAATTGATATTCAGAATTAACGTGAAAACTTGTGTTAAAACCAAATTTAACGAAGTTTCATGAGACGAAATTAACGAAAATTTGTTATTTTTCAAAAAATTCGTGAAAATTCGTTGAATTTTTCACGAGTTTTAACGCGTGAGTGACTTTTTAACGATTGATAACGCGCTAAGTGTCATGTAATATTGAATTTATTTTCCCGCGTGAAGAAAACAAATGCGTTTTCTTGAATACTTTCTTTTTTTAGTCAATTTTATGCATTAGATCTAGTTAAATATCACATTTATTTTCATGTGTGAAATATCTTAACGAATTTTCTAGAATTAATTACAGTTTTTAGGCTTTAGTTGAGATTCTGTAATATTAACAACTTTGTAAAACATATATATTATTATATGGGAAATAATGACTTTGCTCATCAAACTAAAAAAGAGCAATGAAAATGTTGGATGAGAAAAATAATTTTGTTCGTGCCCTAGTCGAACGTTTTTTTGCAAGCACATGCACTTCTTGACTTTCTTGATCAAGAAAGTCGAGAACTATGGACACATCTTGAAGCAAGACGTGAGGCCTTTCGGTGAGCTCAAGTTCTTAAACTTCTTGCTCTATCGCTGGATATTCTTGCTCATGCACTTGAATTTTTATCTAAGCGTTTCTGTTATTAAAGAACTTTTTCAATTTTTTTTTAATTTTACATTCGAAATAACTCAACTTGTAATAAAAATTTATACTTGCATTTTTTTTGTAACTCATGCAGACATTCAAGCGCTTGTCTTGAGCAAGAAAGTCATGCACTATGGACACATCTTAAGCTCAAGTCTTGGCAAGCGCATGAATAAAAAAGTTCGACTATGGTGGTTGTCTTGCAAGTTACTAACACGATAAAGTGTATAATCTGTATTGAATCTCAGGTGAATTCATTTTAATCTAAGAACTACTATTATTAAGTGAAATTTTCACATAGCTTACTGCAATTTTATCTAAAAAAAAGTGATTGTTTCCAAAATTATTGCTCAAGAAGAATACGAAAGTCAACCAGCGAATGGCGCCCTCTATAGTACTTCGCATTAAATAATACACACGAATTTGTGAGTCAAATTTTAAAACGAATTTCCGATCCAGTTACATAAAATTTTAGTAGTTTCTAAACCTTAAAAGTATTTAATAAAAGTATTCTGAATACCGAAACCCAAATTCGTTTGAACAAGCCAGATAATAAATTCATTGTACTTCTCGTTTTCCCGTAATGTCGATACCCACGTAGACACAAAAACGATAAAACGCTGTTTTGACGCGTTGAATGGCAAAATTTATAAAATCAACGCTATAAAATCAGTCTACTTTACACATTAAAAAAATAAGCATGTTTTAACGCATGTATTCGACTAATTCAGGAAATCAAAGAGTATAAACAGGCATAGTTATCCGTTTAAATAAGTTAGGACAAAAAATAATATGAAAGTAATCGCTGCTTATGATTCATTCGTGCAGCATTCCGTCTTGAGAGAAATATATTTGAAGTAAAGCACAACTGTAAATTTATTAATGTCATGTGTTTCCACTTCGATTGGGATATCGAAAACAAAGATAGAGTTACGTGCAGGTGGGAATTTAACATCAGTTCCAAATCGAAAAAGAAGCTTCTAAATCATAGAGTTATAATGAATAATTTCGATTAATGATTAATTTGATATTCCATGGAGTACGTTTTTACATGGTTTGACATGATCATCTATCCATGAAGTACTTCTTCAGTGTTTGTCTCATTTTTAGTCTAGTATTGTGAGATGCTTACATTCACAACTAAACCCAGGAGAATCATTCCGACAATAGGATCCTATCGGAAACTGATTGGAATCCAATTGAATTGTATGGGAGTTTTATGAAATCGAAAAAATCCTTAGTGGTTGCTAGTCGCGGAACGACTAACGGAGCCTTAGTATTGGATACTTACTGATCCTACTGAAGGAATTCGACTGGAATCTGGCGTGTGCTTTTGACCCACTTCTAGTAATGTCTCCAGGTACTTATTAGCACCCAGTTAAGAAAAGAGGCTTCATCCGTCGTATTCGTTTGTAGCTCCGTCCCCCGGAATACCATCAGATTTTGTCGGTAGCTAAGATCCGATAGGATTCGGTATCGGATTTAATCACCTGGGATGTTTCGAATGTTTTCATTACTTGTTAATCAAAACGTATATGCAATATAATGTATTGGCAACCGATTGCTCATTAGAGTATCAGTGAGGAATAAACAAGATATAATTTTTATTTATTTATTTATTTTAATGCGTCAAGTATATTCCAAATTTTCTTTCTCATATTCGGAGCAGTTTCACCATGATAGTTGTTAATCATAAACGAAAAAACAAACGAATGCTCTTTAATATAACCAGCATAAGCAATTGTATTCATTAGTGTTCCACTTTTCATGCGAAGTCCATTTATCGTAGGAAAAGCTTCATAATAAACATTATCAAACCATGGTTGTTTTTGAACAGTAAATAGAATTCGTGCTAAAGCATATGTACTTAGACGATTGCTACGAGATAGACCTGATCCATCTGTTATTGCGATACCATCCAAGGAATTCTCTATGTCAAGTAATGTATGAATATAGGATGGAAGAATTTTCAATGGAGCATCAAACAATGAACTTTTTCCTGTTCGATGAGCAATTGTTTTAACAAATACTTCACCATACATATTAATACTAACACGAAGAAACTGTTCAATTAACTTCGATAATGGAGGTGATCGATGAATATCTAGAAGAGTTAATTTTTTGCTTTCATTTGAGCCAACTGTTGCTTCCTGTTCCACATCGACTCCGTTGATTCTTAATGCTTGAGTTAATTCGTGAGCAGCATAGAGAGCAGGATCAGGTACAGCACAATGAACATCGAAGTTAGGTGAGGCATCAAGTGGTACAGTGCCACGTAGATAACCTACATTAGAACCATCGACAGAAAAATAGAGAGATACTTCACCTTCTAAAGATGAAGTCGTTAATTCATTAATAATTTTTAAACCAGGTGGCGAATTCTTTATTACAATAATATGTGCAGACGTATTATTAGAAGAACCTGATTGAATTTCAATGGTGAATTCGTTCTCGCGCCAATTTAATGCCGAATGACCAGCACCATACCAATGACTAAAATTAGTAACGAAAAACAAGTCTAGAACATGTAATAAAATTCTTTTTATTGAATAGAATTTAAGTACAGAAATTGATTATTGAAACTATTTTAATTTAAACATACCCAATATCATTCCATGTCCATCCATCAATAAACATTGTTTTCGTATTATTCCATCGACTAGTATCACCTATAATACCTCGACATTTACTTATTCCAGCTTTTCTTATTGTTTCTATCCATTTCTTAATAATAGTATTTGCTGCTATCGATTCATCATATCGCCAACTGCCCAATGATGGATCTCCACTGCCTAGAAGATATTCATAAAATATTAGAGAAGACAAAAACAAAGATTCTTCCACCAATAATATAAATATATCCATCAAGAAAACCTGTTACGGTATCTATTTCACCGGAATATTGCAACAATGTTTCATATGTATAATTTGTACCGAGATAATGTAAAGCAGCTGCTGCTGTAATTGTTTTAAGTGACGATGCCGGAGGAAGACCTATATCTTTGGCGTGTTCAAACAGTATTGAACCTGTTCGACCATCTAGAACAGTCATTGAATATACTGCATGAGCAACATGAGGATCCTGAATAAATTTTTGCCATGCAGCGGAAAAATTTCCTGATTAATGAACAAACTAAGTGTATTCATTTAGACCTTGAAAGATAGAAAGACAAACCAATACGATCCATAATTATAACGGATGACCAACCAAATAAATGAAGAACAAATTGAATCTATAAAATTCATGTTTCATTTCAGGTAAGAAATCGAAAGGATTGATTCTCACTACACGATTCCACATTGTTATTTTTCTTATTCGCTTCAAACTATAAAAGTTCGTCTAATATTTACTGTAGAAATGTTTGAGAAAAAAACAAAATCAAAGAAAGCATATCGAAGGAGACTTAAATAAATATCAGTAAGATTAGAAAAAAACCGAAGGAATAGATTTTTGTATTAATCATGATCGAAAATAAGAGTCTTCGACACTGTTATTGACCTTTTATTTGATTGGATCATTTTATTTTTATTTTCAATTGAACCGGTTTATAACATAAATCAGATTTAAGTTGAATATCATAGTTATCTTGATCATATCTTCAACTCGGCGATGGTTGAAATGCGCTTAGTTTCATAATTAATCTTTCGTATGCTCGTCCTCAAGTTCATATGTATTCTATCTAGCGCATGCCATCTTCGAATTCTCAAGTTTTAAATTGTAATGAAATGTTAGCAACTGTTATGGGTGTGGGTTTAAGTACCCATACTTGAAAATATGATGGGAACAGAGCATATTTATTTAATTTCGATGGCAATTTCTCGGGGAAACATTGTTTTTCTAAGAGATTATATTCTGCTAGATGAGAATTTCTATCAAATTTTGTTCATTTAAATTGAATATGTTTTCGTAGGTATCTATGACATTCTATACCTCACAATTAGTTTTAACATTTCTAGACAATTTCGCTTTTTTATGAGGAAAAGTAAATAAAGGTTTCAAGTCGAAACCAGTAACTATACCTTTAAAACCTTTTATAAATCTAGACGTGTAGATTGAAAATAAAAATGGCTAAATTGATCTCCGATGAACATTTCAGTCCGATCAGTTGCATTTTCGTAGAGAAACCAAAAAGTAAAAATCGAACAAGGAAGGTACACTTCATGAATATTTTCGAGCGTTCAATCAAAATAAAACAAAACTATTGTAAATAGTACTAACGAAAGTCAAAGATTGTAATTCGCATCAATGAACATGAATTAAAATAAAATGAACAATATGTTGTTCAATTCTGCTTTGAGAATTCTTCCGCTAGAAACATTTTAAATAATATATAAAATGTTTTTACTATCATGCAAATTCATACAATAGAAGTAAAATCTTTGTTATCATGTGTACAATCAAATAAACAAAGGAAATTGTTGAGTTTTCGTAAAGACGGATTGACATATTCGTTCAAATAATTTTTAGATCAATATAAAGATATTCCTTGAAAGGATAATACAGATTGACATAATGTTGATAAATGAATTTTTCATTTAGCTGCTGACACACTGTATCAAGACAATCTTGGATTTTAGAAGATCAAATCAATAAAACATATTTGTAATGATAAATTGTTATAGGTTTCTCTCTCTTCCTTTCTCGTATCGATATAGATATATGTGCTGATGATCTATATGCACGAACTTTATTATTATGTAAACAAAATCATTACATAATATAGATGTATATAGAACGCAAGAAAATAGAGTACCAATAAAGATGAAAAGAGATGAAAGAAGATAGAGAAGATAGAGGATTACATGAAATAGGGATGATGTCAGCTTGCGACATCATCCTGACATAAATGATTTTACTCTCACTCTCAATCAGATACATTCTCTTAGCTACATTGAACAAAAATACAAGAACTTAGTTCAACAGTATTTATGTCATGTACTTGATTTTATCTTAATAACGTTTGTGTTATTTGATTTAGACTTAAGAAATACTTAATTGGTGTTCCATAGTCTAAAGTAAGTATATATATATATACGTATATTACGGGTGGTTCAGCAGTCCTGACTCAATTTGTATAACAAATTTTTACTTAGTGAAGCGCGTGGTTGTAAATTTGTCTCTATGAAGAAAAGATGCAATCAAACACGTTGTACAAAATGATTATTAATTGACCCCACTAGCTCATCTAGTAGAATAGTTATAACCTTAGAAATATGCTTCATAAAAGCTGAAAATCAACCATGAACCTGATCTATATAATGGTACTTTCAGTAAAAGTTCCTTAACTTCATGAAAACAATAGATCTTTCGATCAGGTTTCCTTTATTTTGATCAGTAATGATTACCATTTTCTATCAAGCTGCTACAGTAAAAGTTTCAACACCTTTTTATTTTTTGCTGAGTGTATTTTCGCAAACAAGGTTGCCGATTTTTGACGTATTTTTTGGCATTTCGATTTGAAGTCTGCCATCTTTTCTCTGAAAGAAAACGTTCTTTGATAGAAATAATTGGAAAAGAAAAAGTTAAATTAAAAAGCAACTCAAAATTTACTAAGACTTCATGTTTTTCGCCTCGCATATTATTTGCTGTTTTCTTGATTGAAGTCCTGGAATTAAAGTTTACGTATGATTTAGTAGTGACTTTCAAAACGCTTCTGTTAAAGAAAACAATTTGTTCTAGGGAACCTAGACGACAAATATTGGAGCGAAAATACCAAAACAGGCTTCACAGTTAAGTTTTGTTTCTTGTGAAGCATATTTCTAAGCTTGTAACTTTTTTATTGCATGTGCTAGTGAAACCAATTCGCAGTTATTTTGTAGAGCGTGTTTTGCTGCACCCCTCTATCGTAGAGATTCATTTGCAAGGGTACGTTTTAACATAGAAAAATTGATTACACCAATCGAGTCAGAATTTCGGGCCCACTTATATATAAGAGTGCGATTCAATCGAGAAGTTAAACTTGAATAATTTATTTTTCGTTGAGATGGACCGAATGAATTATTTATCTTAATTTATTTTTGATAAGATTAATCATTCGAATTTCGCATACTCTTCAATTGCTTGAATCAAATAAAAAAAAATCATCATTTTCAACTTTATAATAAATCATTTGCTAATATTATAATCCATTTGATTCCACACAATGTAATAATGGCAAACCAGAATATAAAATTGAGCTATTAAATAGTGAATAATGACGTTCACGAAGCAGAAGGAAATTTGGTTCAAGGAAACTGAGAAACCAATTGAAAATTTAATTTAATCTTTTAAATAATCGATTGTTTGATGTTTCAATAGCTCCAAATTTTAGTCGAATTTCAATAATATTCTACACAACTGTTTAAATTTATTTAGAAAAACAAACCTTTTTCAATAATTTAGTTTTTTGATTTTTACAATTTGACTGCAGAATACGATAGAGTTCATTTCTACGATCAAGTAAATGTGTGATCATTAATGTAAGTTTCTTATGTCACTTCACAATGATTAATAAAAAGAATGATTCAATAATGATCTCATCAAAGGACAAAAGTGGATCCTGGATCTTGACAAAGTTTGTCGAACCCTGTTGGATTATAGTGTTCCGATTTATTCGACAGTACCAAAGCCTGTTAACAGTTATGAGAATTCACAAAACCCAGTCAGTTATATTAACATTCACCAAGATGTGTTCTTACCGACAGTAGTTCATAAAAGTACACTGTTTATTAATGAAAACATTTAGTGTGGATGTTAATGGATCCTATTGAATTCAATAGGATTCACCAGCATCTCCCCCCCTCCCCCCCTTTAGAATATTAGTGAATTGACTTGTACTGGATACAACTATTTCAAATAATATTGAATTATTGTCTATTGTTTGTATTGTATCCTAACATATTATTGAACTTATTTTAATATTAATATTTATCTTCTATCAACTTCGCGATAAAAACGAACAAGAATATGGTTCTATGTCATCTGTAATTAGAAATAATTCATTATTATTTGATATTGATGTGTCTTCCGCTTTTCTGTTTATTTAAATCACATCTTTATCGTAATTAGAATTCAACTAGATTTGGATAAACGTCAAGCACTTTTCTAAAAGGTTGAATGAATTTTTTCTATACTGTTTAACAAGTTGTACTAAATATGAACAGAATCGAATTTATCACAAAGATGTACGTTTTCAATTTATCTTTGTCAAAATTGTCTCAGAAGCAGTAAGTATTCATGTTTTTTAAATGAAACAGTTATTTCGACAAAGTAACTACATCCCATAGCTTTAACTCAAAAAAAGTATATCGTTGTAGATGAAAACGTGGTTATTTGCAAAATTCTTTTCGAAAATTTGCATAAGCTATTTCGTACTGTATATTACGCCAAATAAATAAGGTATATCCATCATAGGATCAAAATTATTCTTTATTAAGATACGGTGGACCTGTATTGGCAGATTNACATCATACATCGGACATTGTCAATATCGACAATTATGAGTGTTAGTAATAAAACATTTGACTTTTTGGTGATCAAAAACAACTGTGGTCACTTTTTGAAGTATATTATTATTATTTCTATTTTGCTTCTTATCTACTTCACGTAGGTTTCTTTTTTATGCGCTGTTAAACTTGTAGATGTACTAACCGATTGGCTACGATTCTTCTCTTTCTTTTTCTGCAATGACCTCAAACAAAAATATAGTTGCGTGTTTTTTCTTTCTACATATGAATAAAAAAGGAAACAAATTCATCGTCATCGGTCAAACAACAACAGTTATAGTTTTTTCCTGTTCTTTCCTCTCTGCCTCTCTCCACACACGCTATTCGACTATAAAATTGAATGAGACTCATAATGATATTCACTTTATTCAAGAAAATTCTGAAAAGTGAACACTCATTTCATTAATTTTTCTCAATATTAGTTTTTTATTCAAAATAGACAGAAGAAATACAACAAGTTATGTTTTATCTATGTTTTAATCAAAAACTGGTTTAACGATGAAAGATCAGATGTACAAATGCAAGGCAAGTACTTTGAGTATGTTCATCACATACATACTCCATTGTGCTCTGAAAAACACAAGAGCAAGTGGCTTTTTATTGCAGTACATGTTAGTAGATCCCACACGCGATCATGCACTGGCTTTACGCTCCTGGTGTTATTATTCGATCTGTGGGCATAAATGACTAATAAACTATTTATATATTACTATACTTTGTGCAGATGATCCACCGTGTCTCTCTTATCTTCCGAGCGATGGCAGATGCAATTCATTCACTCTTTCGATGACGCTATTTTCTGGATTTTTACTCTTATTCATATTTCATTCTGTTCGACAACTAAAAATATCATTGTCCTTTTGTCACTGACGATTACAACTACTTGGCTTTTGGTTCGTTACTGCAATCGTATTGGCATGTGGTATGAAGTTGACTTATTTACAGTCTATTTCTTTGTTTGGCAATTCGTTTGTCTTAAGCATAAATGGCTTCATCAGGATCTACCGATTCTTTCCTTCACTCTTCAACAAAAGTTTATTTGCTTATTAATGGCATTTTTAGCATTCATGATATACGATGTTTTATCGCTACCTATACCTACATATATTGGCTTTGGTTTCATTTGGCTAATGTCTGTTATAGATATGTAAGTCCATATAATTAAGTGTTTCTTACTTTTTCTTTTTATAGCCAAGCATCCTTTTCCGAATTACATTGTAAATACACTACCGGCAGTAGTTATTTGAGAAATAGTCAACCGCTTAAGATTTAAATACATTCACATTACAAATCATTTATATTGTTACATGCTCGTTCAATCGATTTTATAGATCAGTATCTACTTTAGTGAAAGGATCCGTAGAGAAAAAACTATCTCACCATATAAACGAGTTAAGAGAGCAAGAATAAAATAGCAATGAACGTTTTTTCAATTTTTTTGAGAAAATCATATACTACCGGTCAATGTTATAGAAACAAAAGCAATGCCGATCTACAGTGCAATGCCCCCTAATATATCAAAAGTCTTTTATCAAAATAATCCAGTTGAGTTCGTGTCGCGTTTAAAATATCTAGGAGTAGAAATTAGAACAAAACTAGGATCTGGTAATTACATTATAGCAGTTGTGCTGAAAATCTGAAACATTTTTAATGCATTGAAGTTATTTTTTCAACCGATCCCAACTAAAATGATTGTTCTTAAACATCATTCTTGTGGTTATGTTGTACCCTATTTTTTTTGAGTCTTCATAACATGGTTATACTTTACAAGAAATCAACAAAGAAAATTAGAATATTTACATGTGTCAGGTCTGTGTATTGTGTACGTACTTTGGAAATGAGACGCTTGTAATAACTCGATAGAAATCTCTTTTGGACTATGTATACGTATAAATGTTGACTGAACTTTTTAAAAACCTAGATACAGCTTCTGAAACGTCAGAATATCAATATAGGTGGGCAACCTATCTCATGGAAACATGTCGAAACAGAGATTCTTGCAAACCGAGGTTTTGTTTCTTAGAAAGAGCAGCCTGTTTTCAGATCAATTAGTAGAGAGGTCAAAACATGTGAATTTAGACCACTTCACATTCTTCCACATACACGACAGTTAATGCAAAATTTTCAGAAAACCGTCTTCTGCGTTACAAAGATTTGTATAGAAATATTTCTATTCCTCCATGATGTTGTCTAATACATGTAAGATATATAATAAAATACGATACAGTGCTCATTCATTCACAAATATTTCACATATATAATTGCGCTGATTAATTTTTTCTCTTATTTAACTTGTGTTCTTTATTTACACCATTCTGACATTTTTTCTCTTCATTTGATATAGTATCTAAAGAGAGAAAATGAAACCTGTAACGCAAAATCAGTAAAAGAACAGCTATAGATTTTTCTTTCATCTTTAAATGTTAACCGTATGGGAAACAATAAACTTCTATTGAAACAAGAATCAGTATCTACTATGTAAGAAGTAACGATAGATATTTAAAATCATGCTGTTTTTCATCAAAAAAAACTACTATAACCACAAAGAGTGGTACAATTCCTTTTTGTTTTGGTAGAATTACGGTTTTCTTCTGTATTAGTGTTCCTTGAATCTGAGCTTTATATGATTTTTGGGTGCTGATGAAAGAAAAGGGAATCATCTGGAGCTTTCATTTCTCTATATGATCTGATGATTTATCTTCAAAATAATCAGTTAACTGTATTAATACTTATAGAAACTTTAAAAAATCTTCTGATCAAGTTAAGATACACGTATCAATCAATTAGTTAAAATCATTTGCTGGCTTGTAAATTAGAATATCAGCTATTGATACTACTCTATATGAACGATAGTGAGTATATGTTTCTGGTTGAACCAGTAAGCTACTTTTCTTCTTAATATTTCATTTGCTATTGATTTGTAGCAGAAATTGGTCAAGATAATATAGAGATATATTTTATTTTATCAATTATAGGAGACTATTACTTCACAGGTTTAGGACGCTTAAAAAGCAAGTAGATGATTATTCATCTTGATATGTCCTACAGAGAAACATAAGCTTAATGAAACTAAGCAGTCAGCTATACTATTACTTTTCGTAATGATATTTTTATTTTATCGAGGACAGACAAGAGTTAGAGAATGAGAACATAGTTTTAATAATGATTAGATCTTACATCTACTTGAATTATGTATAGTTTTCAAACATTTAGTTGACAAAATGCATAGAAAGTATCAAAATGTTTTATCTATAATTTTGTGAAACTCGTATATATTTTCGAAGAAAATTGTGAGTGTAAGTTTTATTGCGAGGTTTCTAGCGACTTTTTTCTATCGATCGATTATCTTACGAAACAATTAAAATGTGCAACATATTTCACACTTTGCATGTTGTGTATTAGTAGCGTTCGGCGAAAAGTCACATGTGAGTTCAACATTTTAGCCCCAAAAGGACTCCGCTAACAAGCGTTTTGTACACTTAGAATAATTCATTTTTGCACTAACTCATTAATTTACTCTTAGAAATGAAACGTATCTCACTAAGTTCATATTAAATACTTAGATATTAAGTTAGATTATTTTTTCTTCTAGTATTCATCGTCAGTATTACATATTCAAATTTGGTGACTACATTTATATTTTACAGTAGGTATGCACAGTTGTCTAGATCTTGGAGTTAGTTCAGAAAACTAAATGATCTTCAGTAGAATATTTATCAGATATAAGACAAACATATTAACTACAAGCAGCCAACAAAAATAAAAGTCACCTTGAAAAGTGTTAAAGAAGTAGTTAGTAAAAAGAAGTGCTTTAAAAGAAAGCCTAAAAGAAACGAGTAGTTTTAATTTTTTTATGAAGGAGAAATATTTAATTTCGAATACGTCGTAATATTTATCTAAATAAACGAAAATTTGTGCATTTCACCAACATAACACATGGATAGGCATACTTTGTAGAAATTTTTTGAATTTACACCAGAATAAAAAACCTTGCAGCTGATAAAAAATACTGGTGTTCATATCTTATGTTTTAAAAATATACTTCAATTCAGTTTATTAGAATAAACACTGCGATCTATTCAACGTTTTAAACTATTTTTCTTTCGTGAAGAATAAATGAAAACTACTCGATAATCGTTGATATGAAATGAATTGTCTTTAAACAAAAACCTTGTTTACTACAGATCGAGTCACGAAAAGTCATGTATTCAACCATCAGTGAATTTATGTTTAGCTTAGTTATAATTTAATGTTTTGAAACGATTAAAAAACTGCTAGCGCAATCCCTGTGGGATTAAAATGTGAAACATGATGAAACTCCTTTTCTGGAATCCGTGTATCACGGTCAGTGATGGTTTGTGGGGTTTCTCTGTGACGGTCTGTATTATGATGTATGGAGTCTCTAGAAATCGTTACAGACCGTTACAGAGAAAAGAATTAATTAATTTCTCTGTAACGGTCTGTGGAGGCGGGGGGGGGGGGGGGGGGGGGGGGGGGGACAAATT